ATTGCTCAGAAAAGGTCTACCTAATGTTTTAGAAGGAGATGATTTTTACAGTGAAGGTAGACGTGGTGATGGTCTGACTGAGTGGTTGTTCTGAACCGTCGGTCTGCACAAAGTAAAGAAGCAGTGATTTGTGATCTTCTTGCTTTTCTGAACATCATTACATGAAGACAAACGTCTGAATCACAGAATCAAACAAACAAAGCTGGTAGAGACGGCGTAAAGCTCCTCATGTGGCTCTAAACCGAGTCAAACACACTCGACTCGTCCCTCCGTCGCCTCCATCACTCGCTCATTATCCTGATTCTTTGTGAAGCAGCTGCTGATGTGAAACAAACACTTTTGGAGCAGCAGGCTGCAGGAAGCGCGCCCGCAGCGTCGCATCGTTAGCCCATCGCCGCTCCACCTGATCGACTCTCGCGCTCAGACTCGTCGCCTGCGGCTGAAGCTCGCAGCAGCGTCGCATTAAAGCAGCTCCGGTGCTTCTGGGAGCAGAGTTCGGTCTGATGGCGGTTCGGTCATCAGTCAGCTCTGAATCCTGCAGCTCCAGCAGCAGCTCCAGCAGCTTCAGAGGAGAAAAAACTCAACAAAAGGGCTTCTGCAGAACATCACATCGTTGGGCTTTTGTGGGTCGAGGTTCTGTGACTTTCATATCAGCGCCAGACCTGATGGACGGCAAAGTGCAAAAAACCACCACAAAGAGACAAACAACAAGCGCAGAGAGAGTTTGTGGAGCTGCTCTAACATCTGACTGAACAGATTCTGCTCAACCAGCTCTCATCTGCTTCGTCTAGTCTTTTAAATAACTGAAATTTAACAACATCTGAGGAACTACTGAAGATAAAAACCTGAAATGTTCTCTGGTGGTTCTCATCATGTGACTGATCTAGAATCTATAATACTGGACAAAAGGATCAGATATTCTCTGATTATCAGTGAGTTGAAATATGAAGAGAAACACACAGCCACCTTCATAAACATCCGTGTTATATGAGGTTGAACTCCGGTGAATCAGAGGACGCTGAGCAGAAGTGGCTCTAAACGTGTGATGATCTGAGAAGGAGGTGAGCAACAGCCGCCAGGAAAAGACCACAAAGAGTTTAATTAGAGACTCGGTGCAGCTGATGAGGTGAAAACTGGTCTGCATCACGAATCAGAGGGAGGAGAGGGACCTCTGGAGCTGTGACTACCATGTGTTCAGGTTCACGTCGTCAGATGTGGGAGGTCTGAGCTGACAGGAAACCAGGCTGAACCTGTTGGACTGCTTTCATGCTGCAGACGGATCCAGACCCTGAGCTTCACACATCTGAGGAGCTTCAAACCGCCGAAACCAAACAAAGTGCTGCAGCTCAGACTGACAGAGGAGAGGAAAGAACATCGCGTTGAGTTATTGTCTCTGAAAACACAAACATCCAAACTATTCATCAGCCGCCGACAGTTTCTGATGGAAAACATCCACAGACTCACTGCTGGAGTCGTCGCTCTAACACTCTGCAGCATCGTCCTCCAGGAACCACGAACCCTAACGAAGCCTCAGGAGACACTTTCACCGTCTCCACTCAGAGGAGGAGCTTCCTAAAGGTCAGCACGACTTCATGTGTAACGCTGCAGCTCGTTGATCTGAAATGTTTAATACAAGAGGAGCCACAAGAGGCAAACTCAGGATGTAGTGAGTCGACAAAAGGACACAAAACCACCACAAGGAGACACAACGCGACCGCAAGAGGACCTGAGTAGCATCAGTGCAGGAGCACTGGGAGCAGAGCATCACTGCACCACCGGCGCTCACTTCTTGATTGTTTTATGGCTTTTTGTCGTTTTGTGTAAAATTTTGGTGCCTTTATGTCAAATTTGGACATTTCACTGGTCATTTTGTATCACATTCAGACACACTGAGAAGATGTTCCACCATCATGTAGGAAGATGTTCCTCCATCAGATGTAGAAAGATGTTCCACCATCAGTGGAAAGATGTTCCACCATCA